AGAGAGAGAGAGAGAGATGGCATCACAGTCATCTAATAAAGGGGCTTTTTTAAGCGAGTCTTAAAGGTTCCACATGATCCGATTCTACCTTTAATATCCACACTTGCAAAAGATGTTTGACATTAAGTAAATGCCTAAGAGGTCCCTATCACAAAGATGTCAAATGAAATATCTTTAGAATAGTTATAGAAAGAAAATTCAATGAATGTTAGCCTCTTTCTTATCAATATAAACTCTTTGGATGATTAGTAATTTGATTAAAATTTTATTATGGTATCGGAGCTAACTAATTATGCATGATTTATATTAATATTCTTAAAACATGGAATTAATCAGATATTTGGTGCAGAAAATATTTGAACACAAAATGTTTACTCTAATACCATCTCTTTTTTTTTTTATGGATATATATCCAAATAATCTATCTATTCATACTTTTAACATTTTTAGTGTTGAAGTATATGAATATATATTATTCTTCTGCATCAACAAATTGCAATTGAATATGAAATGGATGGCTTCGAAGATCATCGAATTTCTAAGTTGAATATTTGGTGATCTCAAATCAGACATTGGAAGAATCTAATTCATCTTGTTTCTGTCTAGCCATTTAGTTTTGTGTAAAATGTGTAAATTATGTTTAGAAAGATACTCACAAAAAGAATGGACAGCTTGAAACACAAGAATGCAAGAAGGAAGCTAGTGCAATTCTCTTTCAACTCGTGATGCTCGAGCCATAGGTTGAGTAGGGTTTAAGCATGTGATTAAACCGAGCATTTTAGTCTTAAAAAATGGGAAAGGAATTAGGCAGGAACAAGAAAGTAAACATGGATTTCTCTCATTCAAATCATGTTTCTATGACTTTATATAGCTTCTTGTCTAACAAAGCTTCTTCCTTGAAAGTGGTACACTACATTCGACATGATCATTAACTTGGGATTCTTGAGAAGCACTTCACCAAATCTTTTACCATTAGTCTCCGGCCATCTTTTTAGCTTTTGAAATGGTCTTAGTGAAAGGAATTAATTAGCGTTTGGTACCAATTAGATCATGTGATGCAATGAATCATATTGATCAACATCAATTCATTGCAGTGTATACCTTTTGAGAGAGAGAGAAAAAAAAAACATGATTCTAGTAATTATTATTATAACTTTCATAAAGCTGAGTAATAATGTTAAATCAACATAGCTTATTATATATTATTTCTTATGCTTATTGTCTCTAGTAAAAACATATATGTATTTTAGTAGTCATAATTAGATTCAAGTTAGTTCCAAGAATTAGTATAAGAATTAAAAATTTAATGAAAGATATAGAGAAAAATAAGTTAGATGGTCTTATGACTTTCTCTAATAGATCTATGATAGAATATATTTTTGTTTATAGAATTCATGTGAGAAAATGTTAAGGGATTCATGACTTAGATTGAAGTTTCTTGTATTTGTTTCTCTTCGTATAAAGAAGAATGTGATTTTTCTAGTAAAAGAACCATTTATATTCTTTATGTATTTTCTAATTTATTTTTATAACTTGTTGATCTAAATCTCGCTTTTTTGTTTCGAAGTTGTCTCTCCAACAAATATACCTGGAAATCAATCTTCTCATATTAGTTTGTGTTGTAGAATTCTCTATACCATGTATTTCTTCTTTAAGTATGTAACACCTTTGATTAGTTCCACATCAGAAGTGGACAATATTAAGATTGACTTATAAGGATTTGATGAGTGTATTATTATAAATTTTAGTTTAAATATTTTGATCAATGGTTATAGACCAGTTAGCTCATCAGACCCGGCTACGCTTAACATACATCATGCTAGAGTTAATAGACTAGTTAGCTCATATGCTAGTTGATATTGATTACGAAAAGGTTTTTAGGGAGTGTTGAAGTGTTTTTGCCTGTGTTTTATGGAGAGAGAGAGAGAGAGAGTATATCTACGTCTTAATAGTACTTCACTCTCCATCAAAAGCAGCCTCCATACACAGATCGAGACCATGCCTTCTATTTTGCTTCGATCCATTGCCAAGAGAATGAACAAAGATGGTGAAAGAACCTATGCTAACAACATGAGAACATTTACGTCAAGTTTCACGAAAACGTCCGCTTAGTGAAGAGATTGGGCAAAGGCACAGATGTCTCATGGTATTCGTCAACACCTATAGCAACTTGGTAAGTGGTTGCTCACTCCTTTTGGTCTTAGTTAAGATCAATCTGCTTTTAGCACTTCTCGATCATGTCAATACTGCGGCTCAAATACAATGTGCTCCTTATATATTACTTGTTTATGCACCACGGAGGTGCTTTCGTCCATGTGTTGCAATGCCATGGCTTTGAAATGCTACATGACTTGGGTCAAGAGAAAGCTGAGTCAAAGTGTCGATGGCAGCTTTTCAACTTTGGTCGATGGAGACTTGTGCAGGTGCCCACAGCATGCCTGAGATTTACCACCTCCATTACCATTGATGTCTTGCTTTGTTCATAAATACCACGTTCCCACCTTCCATTCTGCCAAAACCACGTCTCTCTCTCTCGATTCCTCTCCCTTCCGAGCTCCTATCATCTACCAGAAGAAAAAGGACTGTGGTGATCAGATGTGTGGAGGCGCCATCATCTCCGACTTGATCTCTCCTCGCGACAACACCCACCGACCCTCCACTTCCGTCTTCTGGCCCGACTGCACCGACTGCCACTGTATCCCGCCACCACTCGAGAAAGGTACTGCTCGTCTTCTTTCTCTCCTGGAAGTTAGAAGGACGGTGACATGAAGTCCTTGTTTGTGTATTGTACTTGGTGGACACAGTCCAGAGGAAGCGGGAGCGGAAGAACCTGTACCGAGGAATACGGCATCGGCCGTGGGGGAAGTGGGCAGCGGAGATCCGCGACCCGGTGAAAGGCGTTCGGGTATGGCTGGGCACCTTCGCCACTGCTGAGGAGGCCGCCCGCGCATACGACCGCGAGGCCCGCCGGATCCGCGGCAAGAAGGCAAAGGTCAACTTCCCCAACGACGATCCCCTCCCCAACCCCCCGCGCCGGCGCCCCGCAGCCACCGTTAGCTCGTACGAAGCAAGGTGGCTCTCCGATCAGCCGACAACAGCGGCGGCCCACGCATCGTACACGATGAACTTGTATGAGGTGCCGTACATGGAGAGCGTTGTGCCCTCGACGGGGCCTCCGGGCATGGAGATGCTCTGGAGTTTTGATGACGTCACTCCATCTTCTGCTCCTCTTTAGACGATGTCGATGCATGTCTGGATGCATCTGTGACCATTAGGACCGGCTGCTACGTACTGTCCTTGTACTTCTTTGGACCTCTAATGGTTTGTCTTTCTCTCTATTAGGTTTTGATGTTCCTATCTTCGTTGATGTGTTGATGGTGGTGTTAACTATCAAGTTTTGCTGTGTAAAGTGGGTCTTTGTAGTGAGACTATCAACTCAAACAAGGCCTTTGTTTGGGGTAATAACCATAGCTCTATTTGTCGTCTTTTTCTATTTCTATAGTTACTTTATAGTCTTCTACCAATAAAAGTTTCCCTTTCTTTTGAATTATAATGATACAAGCTTGTAAACTATGCAAGTTAAATCTCCAAAAAGGAATACTCAAAAGATGCTCTCTAAAGTGGAAAGTGATACATACTATCTTTACACATATTTACCTCAAATATGAGACTATTTTGGTATTCATGTAGCTAATATTCTCATCAGGCCCATACCTATATCACATAGATGAAAAGAATTATCTCAAATTGTGTGGGTCTGTTGCACTATGATTTCTGTCTTACTGGAGATTCACCAGTATGTACATTAGATTCCAGTATGACCCACAAATTACCTTACTCTAATATCATATATATATCATGTTTTGATGTTTACAAATCATGTGGAATAAGTCCACAATTTTATACTAATGATAGAGTATTAAATTGATCTTATTTTAATAACTTAAGTTTTTGGAATTGATTATCACCAAAATCAGAAATTCTTAACATATTTAAGGTCAATACAACTTATATATAATCACAATCCATAATCTATGCTCTAAGGTGGGATTGTTTTGGTATATTATATGAATTCCTACATGCATATTCTTTTAAAATGCAATCAATTTGAATAGTTAATGGTGTACTTTTGTAATATTG